TCATTACCTTAGTCGCTGAGTCAGTCCGTATGGATAGTCAGTTAAATTTCAGCGAACCTGGCTTATGCCCAGACAAGATTTTACAGGTGGTGGTTGGCTGAAGCTCAGGTGAGAAGTGGACAGTGAGACTCATATTCTGACTGTTTAAAACTCTTTTAATTGCTGACCCTTCATGCCTTTGTTACTATTACTGGTTGGTGACTTTGCCAGATGTCCTGCTTTTCCAAATCCCACTTATTACTCTTATTCTCTAGGTAGAGTGATTTCAACAACAAGTCGACATTGGAAAAGTCCAGTCTTGAGATTTTTATGTATTCTCAAACCAAAATTAGTGGTTTGACTTAGATTTTCATATCATAAAATGCAGTAAAGTTAAACTGAGAAACCTCGGTAGCCTAGTGGTAAGAAGCTGCACAGCAATCCCAAAGGCACCCCTAGTTCACATCTAACAGCTTCTCTGTGGGAGAAGAATAAGCAGTATCCTCCCATGTGATTTACTGTCTCTGAAAACCCTCTGGAGGGTCAGCCATGGGCCAGTTTCAACTTGACAGCATATAGCAGCAACAACAGGTGGCCCCATAGGGCTTTCATGAGGTTAACTAGTAAAAGAATAGTTGCTGTTGTATGTCATTGAGCTGGAACTAAACCATAGCTGGTCCTCAAGCAGGTTTTCAGAGGCATTAAATCCAACGGAGGAGATTGCCCATCTGTCTTCTGTGGAGCAACTGGTGGATTTAAACCATTTGCTTTTGTGTGGGCAGACACCAGCTTTAGGCCTACACTGCCCTGTGTAGTTTGATAGTAGCCTCAAAGATCTTGTGTTTGTCGGCTATTTAAAACAGTCCTACTCTAAATTGAAATGGGTCATGGATGTCAAATGGGAGAAAGACATCAAAGTCTACTTCTGCAAAGATTTACAGCTTTGGGAACTCTATGAGATAGTTCTTCTCTGACCTGGGGGGTTGCAGTCTGTTTGAGGGCAATAAATTTTTTTTGGTGTTTTGTAGGTATAAATTCCATAATTTGGAATAAGTATGAAAAAAGAGAGGTCTGGTGATGTAAAGTGTAGGGAGCAGTGCTGCTAACCCAAAGGCAGGCAGTTTGAATCCACCAGCTGCCCCATAGGAGAAAAATGGGCTATAACTTCTGCAGTTTACAGCCTCTGAAAACTCTGAAGCTTGGCTGCGTGTCTCATCTGAGTTTATGACAATGAGTTAGAATTTGGGTTTGAAATATGAAAAAGAAATAAAAGAACTTATGAGTTTTTTAAAAAAATATTAGTTATATGTTGAAATGAAAATGTTTTGAGTGGACTGGCTGATATAACAATATGTCCTTAAAATTAATTTCACCTTTCTTTTCCCTTCTTTAAAATGTGCTTACGCTTCACATACTTTGGGCATGTTGCCAGGAAGGGCTATTCCTTGGAGAAGGACATGATGCGGGGAAGGGTGAAGGGTCAGTGAAGGAGAGGAAGACCCTCAGCTAGCTAGATTGACATTGTGACTGCTGCATTGGGCTGTTGTGTGTCAGGAAATGTGAGGATGGCGCAGAATAGAATAGGGTTCAGATCTTTTGTTCATAGGGTCGCTATGAGTTGTTCTTGACTTGACAACACCTAACAACAACAACTAGAAAATTTATAATCATTTTTGAAACACCTGTTTCTATTGGACAGTGTTGTTCTAGCCCACGGTCAGCAGACTAGGGCCTGCAGGCCAAATCTGTCACTGCCTCATTTTGTAAATGAGTGTTATTGGAACATAGCCATACACATTTGTTTATGGATTATCTCTGGCTGCTACTTGTGACAGACTGTGTGGCTTGTAAAGTCTAAATACTTACTTTTTGGTCCTTTAGAGACAAACCTGTTCTGCCTTCTGCCCTGGCTCATGGGCACCTGACCTGTGCTCAGTGGCCCCTTGTGGTTCTGCAGTTTCTCAAGAGTGTCAGTGAATAGATAAGATATTGACAGACAACTCCCGCAGATAAGAGGTCTTCTTTTTAAAATATGTGCAGATGTTGGAACAACACCTGTTTGTGCTGATAAATTCATAGCCCTTTGTGTCAGATACTTCATCAAACCATCAGTTTTAATGTGCACATGACCATGTTAGGTGAGGGAGTGAGATCGGCATTCTTAAAGCGCGTGTCATCCTGGAGTTAACTAGTTGAGCATACTAACGGACAGTGATAAGGAGAGTGGAGGTGTGGCTCTTGGGGTAATGAGCAAGTGGCTGTCACCCTTTGAATGGTCCAGCAAACCCTACTCACTCATCAATTCTGCTGCATTGCTATGAATTTAACATTCATCTGTCCTTGACCTTTCTAAAACCAGGATACTTGCTTCTCCTTGGCTCTGTGTTGCTCACTTCATGCTTTGTTCAGCTTTCTCTGTGTCTTCAGCTCTGAACAGAATGCACCATCAGCTCTTAAACGGTGACTGCAGAGCACAGAGGGAAACACATCAGAGTTGGCCTTCTGGCGGTTTCTCAGCTCATTATTTCTTGGGAAGGTTTCTGCAAGCTCTAGGCTTGGTCTCCTCTAAAGACTTTTGTGGGACTTTTTCCCTTCAAAGCCTTATCCTGTGAGTTCATCTTCTGTTTACCTTGCTTTGAAGTAATACTTGTTTAACAGATTTACTGAAACGTGTCTTTAGTACTTATGGAACTTATGCTCAGCTGCTACTGAAAAGCGTTCGAATCCACTAACTGTGTCACGAGAGATGGAATAGACAGGCTGCTTATGTGAAGTTCCAGCCTTGGAAACCTGTGTGCAGTTCTTCTCCATCACGTGGAGTTGCTAGGAGTCAGAATAGACGTGGTGGTGATGGATTTGGGACTTTTTTTTATTTATTACTAATTTCAATGAAAATTTGTATAGACTTTGGATTTCCCTCCATTCATTGTTGCACTTTTCTCCCTCCCCCCCCCCCCAGTACACTCTCTCTTTGAAAAGTAAAAGAAAAATTCTTTCATTGTTTTACAATCCCTCCCCCCAGGTCCACTCCACTATGCAGCCTTCACTCTGGACTCCTGTCATGACAAAAATACCTAATCACATATCCCTTTTAAACAGTTTTCTCCCTCATCTGTTTCAATGCAGTATACATTATTTAACGGATTTGGGACTTAAGAGTCAGGATTCCTTTTCATGGTAGCTGTGTTCAGATATGTGATCTCGAGTCCTTTGGAAGGGAGTTGTTGAGTGTCCCAAGTTCAGAGCCCAGAAGATTGTTCCTTCAGCTTAGAATATTTTTGTCTCAGTAGTCACTTCATATCTATGTTAATCTGACTTTGATATCATGTTCTCTGATATTCTCAGATAGAGTTGGTTATCTACACAAGGCTCTTGTTTTCTGGTCCACTGTTTGTATAACATGAGTGAAGTATAACAGGTCTCATGATTATTCTTCTCTGTGTTTTTTGTGTTAGACCTTGAACCTCGTGAGAAATGGGAAGTCTGCCTTCTTTAATTTTGGACCCTAGCGTCTAACATGGTCTCACACGTTTGCCTCAACTTACTGCTTTAAGTTGAGTTTTAAGTATGAGTTGAAACCGACTCATAGTCGACCATCCAGTCGGTTTCTAAGGCTGTAAATTGCATGGGAGGAGATTTTCTCCTGCAGAGCAGCTGGTGATTTCGAACCACATACCACAGCTCTTTACTTCCTGGTCACCAGACTACCCTTAGGCACTAAAAATTGAATGACTGAAGATATGTTGTGAAGGCAGACTCAAGAGAAACACAGATAAATGACAGCTATTTGTATTAAGTATTTAATCACAGGTGAGAGGTCTCACAAGACTAGAATAAAAGAAATTTAAAAAATTACATTCATGTTCTTGGGTAGAGGGAGTCATCAGGTTCACTACCTGGATCTTTTTATTTTAATAACTGTGAGACCCATGAAATGAGATGGTAAATAGGAAGCTGTTAGGAACGAATTTCTCAGCTCATCCTTGTGGAGTTGGAACCAACTCATAGTTGAGCATTCTTTGAGTTGCTGGGGCTATAAATCATGTGGAGAGGGTTTAACCAGTCTGCTCCATGGAGGCCAGGATTCTGAAGCTTCGTCTGACACACTTTGGACATGTTGCAAGGAGGGACAGGTCCTTGGAGAAGGACATCATGCTTGGGAGGGTGGCGGGACAGCACAGGAGAGGAAGACCCTCAATGAGATGGATTGATTCAGTGACTGGGGTAATGGGGGTAGTTGTGTCAGAAACAGTGCGATTGGCACAGGATAGAGCAGGGTTTAGGGCTATTATATATAGGTTTGCTATAAGCCTCAGGTGACTCGTCAGCACATAACAACTCAACCACAAATTGTGTAGGAGGAGACTGCCTGTCGTTCTCTGAGGAGATGCTGGTAGATTTGAAAAGTCAGCGAAGCTTTCTGCGTTTGAGTTGTTTCATTTCTTTTCACACATGAAAAAATATTAATCAAGTTAGTTTTTTGGGTTATTTCTTTGTTACATTTAGTGTGGGAAGCCGTTAATACATGTATAATTTGTGTCTTATATATATTCACATAAACCATGAGTTTGTCATGAACCTAATGGGTTGATTTTCGAGGGCAGAGATAGGTTAAAATTACCTCTGATTCTTAATCCAGTTTGTTTTAAATGTTGAAAACAAGACATCAGAGCTGAAACGTTAAAAAGATACTCTGATCTCTGAAGACTAAGGAGACATGGCAGGATCGGATCCTGGGATAGCAGAAGAACATTAATAGTAAGACCAGTGAAATCTGAATAAAGTCTGTATTTTCTGATATTGTTCCAATGTGAATGTTGTAGTTTTGACAGTGGGGATGTGGTTATGTAAGATGCCATTATTAGAAAAAGCTGAGAGCAAGATATTATATGAACTTTAGGTTCTGTTTTTGCAACTTCTGAGCAAAGTTGAAAATACTTTCAAAATAGGACGTTTTTAAAACAAACAAGTAAATGAAAAACTTAAGTCAACTAAATCTGCCTGGTCTTTTCCTTTTTAAGGGACAGTCCCGATGCTGTTCGTGATGTGGAAACGTGGTTGCCCAGATTGCACACCCTTGTCATTGGACCTGGCTTAGGCAGAGATGACATTCTTCTAGACAATGTCAAGGTAATGAATATAGTTATTACAGAATTTGTATGTCTCATGCACAAGTCTGAGGTCTCTTGAATCTGAGCAGAAATCTTTTTATTGTATTTTCCAGGCATAAATGACATTCTGTTCAGTCTTCTGCATGCCTCTTTATTGATTAATTAAAATAGTTAAAAGTCTGTTTAGGGGATTGAGCGGTAACGAGGCATGAAAATAGAGAACTGCACTTCAAAGTAAAAGACAAAAATGATACTGAATGAGTGAATCCTTTTCACTTTTGAAGCACTAGCTTATTCAAACTTAATAGTTCTGGAAAGTAAATGTGGAATTTCTCAGCTTTTGTAATGGCTGTCGCTGGTGTATACACTTTGGATCTGATGCAATCAGAGGTTCAGGGATCATAGTTGAGCAGTAGACAGAAGTTGGAGTCAAAGGCTCAACTTCATCTCCCATGTACTCCTAGGCTTCCTTTGGATCTGCAGCCCCTCCAGATCCCCCTTCCATCCCTTGTAAGCCAGGCAAATACATCTGTCTGGGGATTAATTAAGGGAGCTCTAGTGACCTAATGGATAAGGAATTGCATTGCCAACCCAAAGGCAGGCAATTCGAATCCACCAGCTGCTCTGTGAGATAAAGATGGACCATCTCCTCATTGTGACTTGGTGCCTCTGAAAATCTGCTGGAGGGTCAGCTGTGAGTCAGTTCCAACTTGGTGGCAAGGAGTTGAGTTTTAAGATGATTCACAAAGTAATTGTGATATTGCAGGTAAAGCACTCATACCCTAAGCCAAAGATCAACAGTTTGAACCCGTCAGTCATTCAGAGAAAGATGAACTAGTGTGCCTCTCTAAAACTTTATAGCCCCGAGACCCTGACCAGTTCTCTTATCTTTTTTTTTAATATTAATAAATTTTTAATGAATGTTGTTTTGTCTTTCAATTCCATTGTCCATCAATATCAACACAGTTCTTCCAAAGCTAATATACAAGATTACTCTTCAAGAGAACCCTTGTTCCACTACTGTTCCTTCAATATAGATTTCTGGAGGTCACCGCATGCTTCTGTGCAATACTGCCACTGGACACAGAGCTGTCACACTTTGTTTCCATTAGGCTGCATGCTGATATGCTTGTTCTCTCCTACTATTTCTCCCTATTAGTCACTCACTTCAGGGTCATTTTAGGATGCCAGTACTTTCTGCTTCTTCATTTCAGTGACCCTTTATGATGAATGAGTTGATATCCTAGTAATTCCAAAGTATAGATCTATGGAATTAGGACATGCCAACATCTAAGGAATAAAAATAAAAGTTAACTGTTAGATAGATCATGGATACTTCTAAAAATTATCTGTATTGTAGTTTCTTCTCACAGATACAATAAATATTTCTGTGAGTAAAACAAAACCACACAGTTGGCTCTATGAGGCATTTCCAACGACATGAGCCTATAGGCACATCCCCATCGGGATAGACCTCAAACAGTTCTCTTATAGAGAGGGGTATTATAAGTCAGAATTAACTTGACAGGGAGCAGGTGTAACTTTGGTGATTTTCCAGACTAACAGTGGACTAGGAAGAAAGTCTTGTTTCTGAAAATCAGCTAGTGAAAACCCTGTGGGTTACAATTAGATCTCCAAGTGCTCATTTCACTACAGGATATATGAGTTTGCCACGAATTGAAACCTGACTTCATGACAGCCAAAAAACACCACCACTTAAGCCAAAAAGCGATGGTGAGCATGACTGAGTGAATGCACATGAACTCCTAAGACAGTGTCTGCCTGTGTCATGCTCTGTGAGATTCAGAGTCGTACTGAATATCACCATTATCATGATTGTCATCTTGCGCCTCTGTCATAATTGTTAGTTGACTTAGCTTGTTGTTGTTGTAGAGTTGAGTACGACTCACAGTGACTCTGTGAACATCAGATCTGCACCCTGCCTGTCCTGTGCCATTCTCATCACCTCTGCCTCACTAGAGCCCTCTGTTAGGGTCACTGCGTCAGTCCATCTTGTCGAGGATCTTCCTTCACTGACCCTCCACTTTTCCAGCATCATGTCTTTCTCCAAGGGCTGGCCCCTGCCAACATCACGGCCACAGCATGTAAGCTGACATTTCACCATCCTTTCTGCGAAGGAGCATCCTGGCAACACTCTTTCCAAGATATAGTTGTCCTTGAATATGCTCTCAAATCTTAAGGTTTGGAAGGTGAAAAATATCCCTAGGGCTGAACACAACCTGGAGGAAAGGTCACAACCAGAATGGAAGGAGAAGGACTGCAGTTAAGAGAAAGAACTATAACAAAGAATGGCTGTTTTTAGTTCCACTCTTGAGTTTAATAAAACACAACTCAAAAAACTCAAGCTCATTGCTGTCAAGTTGGAACTCAGTCATAGTGGACTCTCCATTGGGTTTCCAAGGTTGTAAATCCCATGAGGGGAGAGTTCATGGTTTTTTTTTTTTCTCCTGGTAGCTGTCAGTGGATTTCAACTGCCTGACAGGAGTGTCCTTTGGGTGGGAAGCCCAATTCCCTATGGACTAGTTATGAGAGAGAAACAAACTGTGAGTATGGCTGTTGTCAGCTCAGCTCTTGCCTTTTGAGTAAAATTGAACAAAAATTCAAATGCTGTTTTTATAAGGTGTGGCTTTCTTAGCCATCATATTGGTAAAGAAGGGAGCCCTGCTGGCCTAATGGCAAAAAGCTGTGCTGCAGCACTGAAGGCATGCAGTTAGAATCCACAAGCTGCTCTGTGGGAGAAGGATAGATAGTCTTTTCCCCTGCCATTAACTGCCTCTGAAAACCCACTGGAGGGCCAGCTATGGGTTGGTTTCAACTCGACGGTATACAACAACATTGGTAAAGAACATTGTGAGACATGGGGATAAAAGATTAAAACGTATTTGTCTTACCAGAATTTAATGAAGAAATTAATTTTAAGGGTATTTTCTCTGTCTTCCAGGTTCGGCTCTTCTGGTGAAAGTTAGGTTTTAAGGCTAATTTTGGTTATATGTCTATCTACTTGACAATTACCACTGGCAAGAAGCAGTAGCCATGATAAGTGATCGGGATTGGGATGAATTGCGATGGAACAGTCTGTATTTTTACTTTCAACTTGAGAGTGGACCCATTTATGAGTGCTCTTTCAGCAAGGTGGATGGAGTTGTGCCCAAGAGCATGGATCCTCATTCAGGGAACTTTGGATGATTTACTGTGGATGCTAAAGCATTAACCTCCCTTCTGTGTGTCTTCCACGTCTTACATTTTTGTCTACTGAAAATTCTCAAGATAAAGAAAGGAGCTCAGTGCCTGGGCCTGGCAGACAGTGACAAGAAAGTCAGCCCCACTTTAGCATGTGGGGAGTGCTGGAAGATTAGAGCTGTTAGGAGCAGAATGCCTGTGTGTTTCAGGAGGAGTTGACAGTCCAATTCTGCACTGAGAAGCTGTGATAATAGGAGAGCTGGTGGTAGAAGGGGTTAGCTATTCATTCTTTTTAAAAAGAGCTGGGAGAATAGTGAGTGATTAATGAGCCAGCAGTTGTGCATTTAGGATAAATAATCTGAGAGGCAATCAAATACAATTTGAAAGTAACTCTAGATGACACATCGTGCAAATTAGAGGCATTTAGGATTCTACTGGTTTTGAAGGGACGTGAAATTAGCTTGGTGAGTGCAAGTCGTTTGTCAGGTGGTGCCATTCAGATCTTTGGAAATTTTAACCACTTGCTGTAAAGTAGAAGTTAATAATAGTTTAGGAGTGATGGATCCTTGGATTCATCCGAGGGGGGAGAGTGTTTCTCACTGGGGCGTCCCCATCTGTAAACAGCATGTCTGGATCATGTGGCTGCTCCGTTCTGTCCTGCACTTTGCATCCTGAGGTTGCTTGAATGCATTAGTTGTTCGCTGCACAGTAGGGTCTGCGCTTGTGCAGGTCACAGGAGATCGCAGCAGTGGTAATTATGCCACTTCACTAGATGGTTTATCTTTGGAAATAGAGCCAAATGAGGGCTTCCTGCCAGAACAGAGCACAGAGTCCTTGGAGCCTTATGAAGATCTGTTTCTTGACCTTTTATGATCTGCATTTTAGAGCACAGGGACACATCCTCTGAGCCCAGCCTGCTATCTGCATCCCTTCATGCCCTGATTGACCTTGACCCTAGAATCTTGGCAGACACATCTTGCTTAAGTATTTTGGAGATTTGTAAATGCCATCAGTGTAGCTAAGTTTGAACTCTGGTGGCCTCGTAAGGAGTTGCACTGCCAGCTCAAAAGCAGGCAGTTCAAGTCCACCAGCTGCCTGATGGGAAGAAGGTAGCCAGCTTCCTCTTGTGTGAAAATGTTCTGGAGGGCCATCTGTGGGTCAGTTCTGACTTGAAAGCACTTAACACCAGCAACAAAGCAACTCCAAATCCAGGCTGGTGCTTCTGCAGTGGAAACACACAATGGAAATCCAGTAGGCAGTTCCTTATTGACTGTGCCACCCACTGGTGCAACCAAGATAGGGAGGCATTGCAGATGGACCACAGCTTGCTTCATTAGAGTGTGTTCTGAACACAACATTGCAAATAGGACCCTCTTGGTTACAGCTATCATCTGTTGATCAAAGGCAGACCCCAACTTTGATCCTGGCCTACTGCTCTCTTTACTAAGACTATCAGGCAGATACTGGGCAGCCCATCCCAAAAGTCACCTGTCCTAGAAGTACTGCTTCTGCAAGGTGCTGACTTTTAAGTAGTGTCTGGGTTTGTTAAACTGAAGAGCTTCTATTATGTTAAGAATTTGGTCCTTGTGCTTTAATCAAAGACGACCTGGATATTTCTAAGGATTTGCAATATAGATGATTCATTCCTCAACAAAAGATTCCATTCAGAGAAAATTCAAGGTCAGCCATTGCAGTTAATTAGAAATGTAGAACTTAGTTTGCAATTACTCTTTAAGAGAATGGGGACATTAATTGCTTGGATTTTAGCACAATTCCTTCATAAACAAATTTTCTCTTTTGGGATAAGTATGTGTGATA